AGTATAAGACGCAGTCGTTCCTACTTAATCCGATCACAGTTTAATGCAATCCTCTGCTTATTGCAGTCAGCGCCTTTGGAGCCAAATCAATTGCATGTCTTTGTTTCCACGTTTTCCTTGGTAATTTGATCACCTACAGCTGTTTGTTTTTTTTTTTTTAAAGCTCAATTGGGAAATCTGGCAATATCTTTTAAGAATTGCCACATAACATAAAACCAATAGAGAAACTTCAGAATGACCAGTTTAAAAAACTGACATGACAGAAGCAAAACTTCAGTTGTCTAAAATAGAAGTGCAATAGGATATGGCAGAGTCGAAGAAGAAAAGTTCTTGCAGAGAATCTTGACTCAACATCAAGTGATAAAATACTGTTGATTGTTTATCTGTATAATTATTCCAACTCACCTGAAGGTTATATGTATGGTTGTGCTGCTGTTGGCATCATGAGGACACCAGTCTTCCAGTCAAAATGATAGAAATCATATTAATGCATTTCTCTGAAGCTAAAAGCACCTGTTAGTGATATAAATACCTTTTATTTGTTTTGCAAGGGCATCACCCTGAGCTTCCCATATGGCAAGTTGGCATTTACCTCATGAGTGATCATGGCATATTGCTGAAGGAAAGGCTGAGAAGGCCAATGGTGCAAAAATGGCCCCTTTTATTCTATTGGAATTTGAGTAACTCCAAATATGTACATGACTATTATAAAGTTTAGAGTAGACTCAGATGGTTAATTCTGCAAATTGAATGATTTCTGACTGTCCATAATGGAATAAGAGGATTACTTTGGTCTGTGCAAATACGAGTGAGATTGACAAGCTGCAAGTCCTAGTGATTGCAAATTACCTATTTCACATTGCTTTCAGAGCCGAGGTACCTGAGGATGTCTGCAGTTCTAGTACAAGTCATTCAAGGGGGGAAAAATCCAAACAAATGTAAATTGATATCAATAGCCATTTTGAAAAATATGCTAAAGGGCGTATGCCACAGTTCCTCTTTTTGATATGCCAGTCGTATCTGGGAGAACAGAGTGAGCTGCCCTAGTGAGGGTAACCTGTGGAGTCCTGAACGTGGTCTGTGTGGCACTTTTCAGGAAGGCTTTAGAAGTAGAGCAGGGCTGTGTCCTGTCCCTCCTTTAGTAAAGTCAGCTAAGTCCAATTCCTCACTGTACTCATTCAGAGTCTAAGTGCTGGGCACCCAAGTATTTCATTTTGTCCCCCTCCACAGGGAAACATCAAACAGCTTTACTAGACATATACCTAACTTTAGAGGATGGGTGTGTGTGTGATACCAGAATGTGCCTCACTTCGGGGGAAGGGAGGGCATGTCTGAGTTTGGAGGGAAATGGAACTCATAATGTGATTCCCATCAGCATCTAGACCTTTAATCTATACAAATGAAATAGTATAATAGAATTCTAAAAGTAAAACAAATGCTTTGTTCTTAGTGAATCTGCCATTCAGAGTTGCTGTTGGCACCACATCAACTGTACTTGAAATGTCTTTAAGTGGGTATTCTTTTTTGTTGTTGTGCTTTTCATCTTAACCCATCTTTCAAGTTGTTAGAGGAATAGGAAGGCTGAGCTCCTCTCAGAGTGTCGGGTCTGTACTGTTCCAAGGTCTCTATTTGCTTACTTAACAATGAAGAGCTCATCTTAATAAGTATTTTGGCCACACTGCATTAGAGTTTAGAGACTAAGAAGCAACAGAGTGCATTACAATGAGTTAGAGGTAGAAAGGAAAGAAATACAACATAAGGAAATGTTTGTAATGAAATGTATTACAGTTGCTACCAAAGTGAAACTACTGTCTTAGAGAAATCAGGTGCCAAAAAAGGGCCACAAACTGTGGAGGTGAAGAAATAATACTTAGTATTAATTGAACATTTACCAAGTTCTAGGCACTGTGGCATGAATTTCTCACATAATATTTTTCTGAACCTTAGCACATCCACATGAGTTATAAAGAGGAAAAAGAGGTCTTGTTGGGGTTGTTACACAGTAAGTAGCTCAAATTGCGATCTACCTGACCTCATGATCTTTTGCTAAGTTCTGGTGGACTCTTTGTGATCTTTTTAGATGTGCATCAAAATATTAATTTTTTTATCAAGAGTATAACTCTTTTTATATTTATTAGCATTTTCACGTGAATATGTAGAAATTCAAATCATTTGTTGGTTTTAAATCTTTATTTAAGCCTCTTTGGAGTATTTCTATCATTGGGAACTATGCAAGAATTTTGGAAAGACTTCTTCAGTAGTTGAGATGCATACTTTGGGAGTCTGAAGAGAAAAATGGAGGAATCCTAGTTTGTTCTCTGCTTCTTGACATGAAGTCCCTGTGCTGAAATGTTGCATTCAAAATGAGTTTTAGTGCTTGCTTCGGCAGCACATATACTAAAATAGGAAGGCTACAGAGATCAGCATGTTCCCTGTGCAAGGATGACACAGAAATTCGTGAAGCATTCCATATTAAAAAAAAGAATGAGTTTTAAAAATTATTTGGCCATATTTTCAGGGGTGCAATGTTTTTGTCTAAAGTAAGTCTAAGTAAGTCCTGTTGGGCAGGGACTGAATGGATATTCCTCTACCAAGAGCCCATATGACATAGGAGATACCCAAGAATGGAGGCTGTCAGAGCCCACCTTGCTCACTGTCACATGCACATGATCTCAGGGCAGGTGGGTCAGGGGACTCACGGCCTAAAGGGGTCTTTTCCATCAGAGAAATACTTCTAGGCTGCTGGTTATTAGCAGTCATTGAGGAAAACAGTCCTTTCTGATTTGTGTCTTTGTCTTCTTCCTCTTCCAAATGTGTGAAATATTGTGCAAATCGCCATTGGAATATAACAAAATATCTATTGACTCTTGCCCTCTAGGAACTCAGAACGCCTAGGAAAGACTAGACACTGTCACTTGAAAAATAAGGTTGGAAGAAGAAAAAAAGAGTTTCTGGTCCCCTCCCTGTTTCCCTCAGGAAGTGGCCCTGGTGTCTTCTTCATGAGCACAGCAACTTAGTCCTTCTGTTCATTGATGTCTCCCCAGGGCCTCCACAGAGACACTCAATATTGAAGGAATGAATGAGGTTAGAGGCGAGTAGGATTTAAAATAGTTCTTTTTAAGAGGAGTTCTATAGGTATGTGTTGAAAGAGCAGGGGAAGAGAGTATAAGGTCAGTTTGGGGAGAACTATTTTGAGTGAAGTGAAGGGCCATTGAAGGAAAATTTTCAGATACTGTCAGAAAAAATAGGTGGGAGCCACATGTTGGAGAGCATTGAATTTCTGACCAAGGAGTGCCCAGAATCTGTGTTGTGTGTTTTTCTTAGGGGGTGATTAGAGTAGGAAAGTAGACCATCAGTGTGATTCAACTTCCCAAGCTTGGAAGGCAAATTGCATGCCCATCTTCTAAATTTTTGCTGCTTATGCAGGATAATTTTTTTTTTTTACTTGCACTGAGTTGATGGACTATTTGATATGAAGTCATTGTAATTTGCTGACATATACCACTACACTGTAGTTTGTGGCCATGATATTATTGAACCTGTTTTAGCTGATTTCTATCCCCTGTCACTTGAGGGACTCCTTGCCTGAATTATCCTTTTGCCTTTGCCTGATCTCTTTGTAGAAGAACAAACAGGGAAAAGGAAGAGAAGATAAATGAATGGTTGCTGATCTATGGAAATCTACCAATCACTTTAACATATCTAACTTTATTAGTTTATTACATTTAATATACATATCTTAATCCAAAGGGTATTAAAAATGCATGTAAATTTTTTAAAAAGGTGAACCCATTAGAGAAAAGGAAAAATAAAATAAGAAAAATAAAGGAAGCCAGTGGTGTTTGCTGCACAGAACACCTGCCACGAGGACTGGTACAGTTGTTAGAGGTGGTTACAAATCGGATTTGGGACTCAGAGCCTTTTGACTTCCAGTGGAAAGAGGGAAACATGGTGAGTTAGATGATTCACGGTGTTTGTGAGATAAAAAGAAATCAATTACCCAGGAGCAAGCAGCCCAGCTAGTTCTGGAACCTGAGAGAAAATTCTCCCACGAGTCCTCATAAAGAAGACTATGAAACATTTTTCTTTTTGGCTGCCAGTGGGAAGGGTTGATACCCTCTTATGAAAATGGAGGAGTCAGACAACATTCTCTGCTTCCTGGAAGCAGGCTGAGATGGTAGCTGGGCAGGGCCAAGCTGTCATCTTCAGCCCCTAAATACCTCAAGCAATACCTTTATAATGAACTCTCTAAGATATACTCTTTATCCCCTTCCTATCACAGCCTTCAGTTATTATGTTTAATATTTGTTTACTGTTTCTTCTTCCAAATAGCTTGTAATCTGCAGAAGGGCAGGGACTCTAGGCATCTTATTTATCTTTCATTTCCACATAGCACAAAACCTGGCATATATTAAGAGCTTCGTAGATATATATTGAAGATGGAGTGGAAAGAACTGGTGCTTAAAAGAGATTTTTAACTACTTACAAGCCTGGTCTCACTGGTTTGCTAGCTATAAAAATATTAGGAATGTTTACCAGAATGATTGATCTTGAAACAGCTGATGTTCTTCTTGCCAGTAATCAGATAGGATCAGTTTACCAGACAACTCAGTTATCTGCTGAGTTCACCCTACACAGAAAATGTTGAGAGTAGAGTTTATAATCTGTACCTCACCGATGAGGACACAAAAGCTCAGAGAAGTTGAATTACAGATTTATTTCCTACTTATAAAAATAACCCAAAATGTATTTTAAAATCAAGACAATTTCATGAGCATATTGTATCACTTGGCTGTGGTACGTGGGGCAGCTACATCCCTACCCGTTAGTTAAATGTTAGGCATTTCTAAAATAATCAAGGTGTTTGTGGCAACCAGTTATATGGCTAACTTTTGCTTGCTTCCCTTTTCAAATATGGATTACTGCCATTCCTGGTGAGAGAACACATGTATCCATTTCCTGTGGTGGCAGATTAAGGGCTGTGTCCTCTCACCCTGCAGGGACACGGAATACAAAGGTTTGCAGCTCTCCCTGGATCAGATCTCAGCCTCTAAACCAGCCTTCTCCTACACCAGCAGCTCCACCCCTACCGTGACTGACAACAGGAAGGGGGTCAAGTCCAGGCTCTCCGGCTCAAAGTCAAAATCCAGGACTTCCCCATATCCTCAGGTCGGTGCACTGCCATTTTGCAACTTTCTTTTTTTTGTAACTTGGTTTGGTCTTGAAGTTGGGGAAGTATTAAAGTGGTTTGTAATTAATTATCTGGTTGTAATAAATTTAAAACTTTATATATCTGGAAAACTTTCTAAGACTATCTTCTTCCTTCTCTTCTTCCTTTAAAATAGGTATGCTAGTAAAAATTTGAAATGATCTGGTGATTAACTGGTTTTATATGAAGATCATGAGAGACTCAGTTGTAGTCGGAACCATAACTGTTATTTCAAGGAGATTTATCCTAAAAATTTCCCCTCAAGCAAAATATGGAAAACTAGAGCTTGACATAGTCAAATTGATTTTTAGGACAGGGACTGAAGTAGAAGGAAATTAAGAGGTGGAGGCAAAGAATCAAGGATGCATTTCACCATGAGATTTGAGCACAGGAGAACTATTTTCGGAAATAGTCTACCAGATGGGGGTAAGGATAGGAAAAGAAACTCTCCTCTCATCTGTACAAGGTGATGAGCACATAAGACCCAGAGGAGGTATTCCAGAAACAATGCAAGGTACAAAGATGAGTCTGTATTCTTGGAAGGAAAAAATTATTTTTCTGATCAGTCACTGAGATGTAGAAATTAGACAGTCTCAAGATATATGCACAACTCTCTTCTGGCCTGAAAGAAGTAGGACAGAACTGGGGATCTCCTACTGCCAGGACCCTGTGACCATCTCACCTCCTCTGTCCTTTTCTGTTTTTTTTATGTTTATTTATTCATTTTTGAGAGGGAGGGAGGGAGGGAGGGAGGGAGGGAGAGAGACAGAGAGAGACAGAGAGAGAGAACAAGCAGGGGAGGGTCAGTGAGAGGGGAAGCAGAGAATCTTAAGCAGGCTCCAGGCCCTGTGCTGTCAGTTCAGAGCCTGACATGGCACTCAAACTCATGAACCATGAGATCATGACCTGACTGAAGTCAGACGTTTAACCAACTGAGCCACCCAGGTGCCACTTACCTCTTTCCTTTTCTCTGTGGTGCCACATCGCTGGAGTAACTCAGGAGATAATTGCTGGGCTTATATAAAGCTAAACTGGATTTTGAGTCATTTTGTCAAAGTGGTCTTTATCATTTATGTTTTAAATGTATTTTTTAAGCAAAAAATGACTAGTGGTTACAGAAACTGTTATTTCCTTACTTATCAGAGCTCTATTATTCTGTTGATTTCTACAAATACATATACTATTTGAGAAAATGTCATTCATTGAACTAATGCTCACTAAGAAGCTACTATTTGCTAGATTATTTTAGCAGCTTGGTATATAAAGATGAGAAGATCATGAGCCCCAAGAGACTTATGTCACACAGTTTAAAATCTCTCACAGAAGCCAGATCTCTTCACTCTGACAAAAGGGAGAAAGTAGGTATGTGATGCCCAGACAGTTTTCAGTGTGCACCCTCTGTTATGAGGACTGAGCACTTTATGTAAAAAGTACATTTTAGTTAAAGTCACTGTGGAGGAGGAGTTGCTTCTTTTTGTTAAACATCTCAGAAGGTTTTCTTATTACAATCTTGTACCTTGGGGAAAAAAGTTTCACTGTCTCTTTTTACTACTTGGAAGAATGGATTATGCCTTTGGGTAATTCCATCCTTAAATATACAGGAGTGCTGAACACACAGAGGAAAGAGAAATTTAAATTAGGAAATGCTAAGTTAAGAAGAAATTTATCCATTTTTACACAGTAATTAAGGTGCAAAAACAAAGTCCCCCCATTGGACTTCCAAAAACTCATGAATTCTGTTTTCCTTTTTAAAATTTTTTTTAATGTTTACTTTATTTTTGAGAGAGAAAGAGAGAGAGAGCATGAGCAAGGGAGGGGTGGAGAGAGAGGGAGACAGAGAATCCAAAGCAGGCTCCAGGCTCTGAGCGGTCAGCCCAGAGTCTGATGCGGGGCTCAAACTCATGGACTGTGAGATCATGACCTAAGCTGAAGTCAGACACTTAACCAGCTGAGCCACCCAGGTGCCCCTGAATTCAGTTTTCTTGCATGCACAGCTCTAACGTCTAAAATGTCTATTAGTTTACTCTAATGGTAGACTACTCATTTTTTTTTTTTAATCTTGTAACTGTCAGTAGACTTCTCTTTGCATGTGTGGTCAGGGAGGAATTAATTTGAAAGTGCCTGGGTGATTCAGTCAAGTGACTCTCGAATTTAGCTTAGGTCATAATCTCACAGTCATGAGATCGAGCCCCACATTGGACTCTGCATCAGGCTTGACGTTGGGCATGGAGCCTGCTTAAGATTCTTTCTCCCCCTCTCTCTGCCCTTCTCCTGCTCTCTCTCTCTCTCTCTCTCAAAAAATGAGAAAGTTATACATGTTCCCTAGTTTAAAAGTAATACAGGAGAGTTGAAAATAGAAAAAACACTTCTCTTGCCTCATTTTCCCTCTCTAAAAATGCACTTTCTTCTAGAAGTATTCTGTGATGTATAAAAATCATGCAAATGCACACACATAATGTCCGTATAGGATTTCTCTTTATGTTGTGTGTTCATTTTTGTGGTTAATACTTACATATATGTAGTCCTTGTAATTTTGGCCATATGTCTCATTTGAAATCACAGTCATGAATTAAGTTTACTTACCATTTATGTGCCTAGTAAAGGTTATTCTTTAATTGTGTTTACTTTAGATAGTCATGGTGCTAGGTCAATCACTGACTGAGTTCCTACCGTATGGGCTACTAATATGTAGAGATCAGAAATGGAACTCACAGTTTATGCTCTAGGAGCCACTTCTATAGACAGGTGAAGGAACAGACGTTTGCAGTGAATTGTCATGGGGATGAGCAGAGGGTCTCCCGGGGGCACATCAGCAAAGCATGAAATCCAGGGCAAACTCATCACTGTTTCTGCTGGAAGAAAGCAACTTGGTAGTATCATCTTGGATTCCAAATCCTCAGGAATGTTAAAGAAAAAAGATTAGCTACTCAAAAGTCTCATTTGTTTCAAATTATTCTTATATAATAAAGGGATACTTAGCTTTTAATTTTCATGCATCATTGCTAATATGTGTCTTTGGCTTAGTAGATGTTAGCTGAGCACTGAAGGATGCTATGCTGGCCATTGTGGTGAACAAGGGTAGCAGGTGGGTGAAAGGTGCTAGAATATAAAGAAGTGGTGTAAGAAATGTCGTTATGTTTTGCAGTACAGCAGAAATAACACATGAGAATAAGTAACGTATAAGAAAGAGATGGTGTACACAAAGGGCTTCATGAATGATGTCAGCTGCGTGGACTATAGCCTGGATGATGGGGGAATGCATTGTGCCTGACCTGGCTTTGAGAGTAGGATTCAGGTAGACAGGCATAAGGGAAAGGAGAGGACACTTCAGAAAGACCAACATTATGAAGAAATACAGAAAGGTGTTGTGATTGGGACTGGAGGTGAAGTGGGGAAGAATTTGTCCCTGGGGATGAGGACGCAGGGTGATATGTTTGGAAGCACTGATTGGTGCCAAATATCTGCCAAACCAAGGAATTTAATTTGTTTTGGGGAGAACCAGTAAAGTTTTTTTTTACTTTAACCAATTTATACACACTTTATTTTTTTAAGTGACAGAAATAAAAAAATTTTAATATAATTTATTGTCAAATTGGCTAACACACAGAGTGTAAAGTGTGCGCTTGGTTTTTGGGGTAGATTCCTGTGGTTCGTCGTTCCCATACAACACCCAGTGCTCATCCCAACAGGTGCCCTCCTCAATGCCCATCACCCATTTTCCCCTCTCCCCCATGCCCCCATCAACCTTCAGTTTGTTCTCTGTATTTAAGTCTCTTATGGTTTGCCTCCCTCCCTCTCTGTAACTATTTCCCCCCACTTCCCTTCGCACATGGTCTTCTGTTGAGTTTCTCAAGATCCACATATGGGTGAAAACATACAGTATCTGTCTTTCTCTGACTGACTTATTTCACTCAGTGCAATACCTTCCAGTTTCATCCACATTGCTGCAAATGGCATTATTTCATTATTTCTCATTGCTAAGTAGTATTCCATTGTACATATAAACCACATCTTCTTTATCCATTCATCAGTTGATGGACATTTAGGTTCTTTCCATAATTTGGCTCTTGTTGAAAGCACTGCTATAAAAATTGGGGTACATTTGCCCCTATGTATCAGCACTCCTTTATCTTTTGGATAGGTTCCTAGAAGTGCTATTACTGGGTCGTAGGGTAGTTCTATTTTTAAATTTTTGAGGAACCTCCGCACTGTTTTTTGAGAGTGCTGCACCAGTTTGCATTCCCACCAACAGTACAAGAGGGTTCCCATTTCTCCACATCCTTGCCAGCATCTGTTGTTTCCTGAGTTGTTCATTTTAGCCACTCTGACTGGAATGGGGTGGTATCTCAGTGTGGTTTTGATTTATATTTCCTTGATGATGAGTGATGTTAAGGCTCTTTTCATGTGTCTGTTGGCCATCTGGATGTCTTCTTTGGAAAAGTATCTATTCATGTCTTCTGCCCATTTCTTCACTGGATTATTTGTTTTTTGGGGTGTTGAGTTTGGTAAGTAAAGGTTTTTGAACAGGAAATGAGAGCATTAAGGTGGCTGAAACAAGGCACACTCCTCATTTAAATAATCCTGACGCACATCTGTGAAGGTCTGAACTAAAGTTCTCTACGGAGGTAAAAGGCATTATAGAGGAAGAATGGATGAAATTCTTTGTATCCTTGGCTGCTTGTACCTCTGCTCCTTGTAGAGATATTTTGATCATTAATGATTTATCTTGAAATTGTGTTTTAAAGCTTGTTTCTTGTAGTTAGTGACACACTTATAGTGAATTTTCCTTCATGGGTTAACAGAGCCGTAATAAATGCATTTTCAGTTCCTAAATGATCAAGCTTCTGTGTTTAATTTTAAATACTTCTTCCCCTTTTCTCAAAAATAAAATGTTATTTCCATGTTCATATGTTTTTAGCATGCAGATTCTCATTAGAATTTTCAAGAGGCAGTTTCCAGA